GGCGGTCACTCTTTCTTCCTCACCGTCCTCTGTGATTCCCGCCGGGGTTGCGGCTGATGATGCCCCCGGGGAGTTGAGCGCCTTCAGCGACTCTTCCGCGGCGTCGAGTACGCGGAAGGTGTTAACGTGCGCCCCATCTGTCACGGTGCCGGGCCCGGTGTGGTCCTCGCGGCATGGCGAGCCACCGATTCCTGATGACGCGCTTGGGGGAGGTGGCGAGGAGTTGAACCCCCACCCTGCCGAGGCCTTCATCCCGCTCGACCTGGATGATCACAACAACATTCTCCTTGATCTCGACCCCGACTACTTCGCGCCGGTACTGAACTACCTTCGGCATCGGGTGGTGATGGTCCCGCCGCAGCTCTGCCCGCTGGGGTTGCTGGCCGTCGCGGAGTATCTCAACGTCCGGGGGATGGTCCGGCAGCTGCGGCCCCGACACCGAGCCCGCCGGCAGCTCCTCTTCAGCTGGGGCTTTGGTGGCAGTGGGGAGTTGGGGACGCAGCGGTTTGACGATCGTGATGTCCCCACGCCGGTCCGCGTCGCCCCTTTTGGTGTCCGTATCACTCACCTCACCCTAGGCTCAAACTACAGCTGTGCCCTCAGCGATGACGGCAACGTTTACACCTTTGGGAATGGGGACTGGGGGCAGCTTGGACTGGGCGACTCGAGGAACCTCGAGAACCACCCCTGCGATAAGTCGGCTGTGGTGTTGGTGCCGCGACGGGTCCCTCTTTTTGAGCGCCACCGCGCGGTGCACATCTCGGCTGGCTACGCCTTTGTCATCGCGGTGGTTGAAGGCCACCGAGTATACTTCTGGGGAAACAACAACCACGGCCAGAGCGGGCTCGGTCCAAAGTACTTTGATGCTAACTCAAAGAAAATCGACGAGCCGAAGCTGGTGGAGTCGCTGGAGGGGAAGCGGGTGGTGCAGGTCGGCTGTGGGAGTTTCTTCACCATCGCGCTGACGGCGGATGGGCGACTGTACAGCTGGGGTCTGATCGAGTGCCTCGGACTCGGCCCCCCCGAGGCCGTCCGCCAGCGCTACCACGGCAGCTCCATCCTCGGCGAGTCCCTGAGCAATGAGCGGCACGGGGTGCTGCTGACGCCGCAGGAGGTCCACGTCGAGACCGCCAGCCCCCTCCGTTACATCCACGCCGGGCAGTGGCACAGCGGCGTGATCAACGCGGCGGGGGAGCTCTTCACCTGGGGGGTGGGCTACCAGGGCCGGCTCGGGCACGGGACACGGGAGCCCGCCTACGTCCCGACCCTCGTGCGCGGGATGCTCGCGGGGCATCGCGTCGCCGACGTCGCCTGTGGCTCCTTCCACACCGTCGCACTGACAGACCGCGGGGTCGTCTTCTGCTGGGGGGATAACGCGAGCGGGCAGTGCGGGACGAGCGTGGGGCATACCGAGGCGGTGACCTCGCCCTACCGGGTTGTAGGGCTGGAGTACGTGGCGGGTGGGGTCGCGCGGGCCATCTCCTGTGGCCGTCAGAATACCCTAGTGGTGATGGAGAACCCCCAGCCAGGATGCACCCGGCGCTGCTGCCGCTTCGATTCTCACCACGAGGGCTCTAAGCGGCGGCACTCGCATGGACAGGTCTACACATTCGGGGAAACTCCGCGGGGTGGGGGCGGGGGAGCCAACCTGAACAGCGTGGCCTCTCCTGGGAACTTCTCTTTTCTTTTTCGAACCCCCAACTCGACGACCAGCGGAACGACAGGGTCCAGTACTTCCAACCGCATCGTAATGCGGACGGGGACCCATACCGGGATGAATAGCGGGAACGGGCGGGGTGCCCTCAGCCAGTCAGAGAGCTCGGGGATGTTGGATCACCAAGTTACCCCACAGTCCCGCGTCGTGTCCGCGATTCCGCCTCCTCACCGCACGAGTAGTCAATTCCGACTGGTGCCTAATTTGGAGAATATGGACGTACGTGGCATCGTCAGCGGTTTATATCATACTTTTGTATATGCCGAGGAGTTGGACTTTTCTGATGAAGAGGCGATTGGGAAGGAAGAATGTGATATAATGCAGAGAGAGAGACGGGCTGCGAGATGGGGAAGGATGGGGAGGACTCCATTGTCTGATGATAGACTACGTGTTCATCTAACAAAGGTCGACACTCATCAAAACAAGCATTTAAAAGTAATGAGGGATAGAGAGTAGGATGAGGAGGGCTTAGGTGTATGTGGGGGGGGGGTAGATGGGTTCATGTGGTGATTTCAACTTTATATTTCACATGCAAGGGTAAGGGTTGATGAGTGTTTTTGATTTGCCTAATTATCAAAAAATGGGAAACGGTACATTTTTTTTCTTTTTTATTATATGCTTTCCGTCCTTATTCAGCTTTATATTCTTCCTTTGGGATGGTACTGGTTGAAATTTAGCATCATACTGCTTTGTTGAAGCTCGTTCCCATTTATTTATTTACTGCACTCTAATTTTGTTCTTTTCTGTATACCCATTTTCGCTGATTGCCTTCATAAATCTCTCTTTTGAGGGGAGTCACTTGAATGTAGGGGAGCGTGGAAATATCTGGTAGAGAAGAATTAGAGGGTCTATCGTTTCCCATCAAATGCAAGCGAAAGTGTCTAGATGGTTTCATGTCTTTATGTAGGTTAGCCGATATCATATACATTTATACATGCTTATGCACATATACATATATGCATATTAATCATAAGGCGTGAGAAGCTAGGTAGTGATTTTTTTTTTACTTCCACCTGTTCTGGTGTTTTTTATTTTCCTACTTGTTGGGATCAACTGAACTAAGCCAATAGAGTGGATCGCAACAACACGATATTGGCTCTGGTAAGTGTATTTTAAGAAATACAAATTATATATTTGTATCTATATATTATTATCTTAAATTCCTTTTTTTCCGAGTTCGTGTCTTTTATTGGAGCCATTTTTTTAAAACTTACACCCCCCTTTTTCAGGGATTAAGTAGGTGGAAATAGGAGGCTAGAGTTATCCTTCCTTTTTTTTTCCCCTCAGATTATTTAGTGCATGCCGCGTCGCTTCACATTCACGATCTTAAGGCATATTTTTATTGAATCTAAACTCCAAAGAAGTACCATCTGAGAGGGAGGGGAGGAGGAGAGGGAGATAAATAACAAGAACGAAAGAGTGGGTCGC